TTTCTGTGAAACTTTGATTGATGAATATTGAACTTGTTCTTGAGAATATGTAATTGTTAGAATGTTGTTGTTGAGATATGTGCTTGTGAATTGTTAGGTTGGGCTGATCTTATACAAGTTGTAGTTGTGGATGTTCGGTTGGTGTGTAAGGAGTACCCGTATTGTATCCCCTTAGCTTGTGTTTAGAGGTTTACTTGCTGAGTACCGTGTGGTTTGGTACTCACCCCTTGTTTTTACAATTTTTGTAGGTTACGAGCCTGGATTTTGTGGTACTTGTCATTCTCATCTTTTTCGAGGCTTCTTGGAGATTTGTGAGGTAGCTGTTTATCATCTTAGTGGACCTTCTTAATCCTATTTATGATCTTGTTCTATTCTAGAGACAAGGTCATCTGAGACTGGTGTTTTTCTTTTGAATCAATTGTAATACTTTAGAGGCTTGTACACGTGACAACCAGATTTTGGGGGTATTTTTGAGTTGATTATAAAATTTCCGCATTTTGTTGTAATGGTTGAGTTTTAGGCTGACTTGTCTTGGTGGGATAAGACGAGTGTCATCACGTCCATTTTTGGGTCGTGACAAAATAGTATTGCATGTATCTGGAATGTATTGGAATCATGCTTGCGTCTCTCCCTATTTTTGTGTATTTGATACATGTATAGTGTAAGATACATAATATTTTAAAAATATTGATAATAATAATAATATATATGATAATGAAGTATGTCTAATTATGTAGTATTTTCTTCTTTACTTATATTTATTATTGTCGTAACCAATTGCGTAATTTTTTTTATTATTATAGTATAAATAGACATAGAGGCAGATGTATACAAGTATATCATAAATATATATATTATGAATTCATCATGGGCAAGCTAAGCTTAATAGTTAATACTTAATACTCGTGTTCCCCCATAATTCATAAATATGAATGAATATTATATTTTAGACAAATAATTGGCTATAAAGACGATGGGTTCATAACTACTATTTTTATAACAGAATACTTATCAACCAACTATAGAACAAGTGCTATGCCTAATTTAATGCAAAATAAATAAAAACACCAATAAAAAATGTTTCCATAATTAATAAAGGTATGCTGTTGGGTTGAGTGGTAGATGCATATGATCACATTGGGAAAAACAAAATGACTCCCTCTGTCCCTATTTACTTATCCACTGTTAAATTGACACACCTATTAAGAAAATAATTAATGACATAGTAAGTTTACCATTTTACCCCTATTAATTATGAAGTGGATGAAAAGTTCTACATTTTTCAAAGTAATTAGTCATTTAATTGAGGGTATAATAGGTAAAAAAAATTGTCCTTTCTTGATATGTCAAAATGGACAAGTAATTAGGGACAACTATAAAAGGAAAAGTAGACAAGTAATTAGGGACAGAGGGAGTAATATTTTAGAAAATGATTATAATTCATAATAATGATAAATTAAAAATTAAGTGATAAATTATTTTTTGGTTACTAAATATAGACAAATAAAAAGTAGACATCTTTTTTTAGTATACAGAATAAGTAAAAGAAAATAAGGTTAGCGGAAAGAAAAATAAGAGAAAGGATGACAAGATGGAGAATTGAATCCTCACGAATAAAACGAAAGTTCAAGCAACCAATCGACTCAACGATTTTTATTTATTGTAAAAAAAAAATTAAGAGGAAAAATATTTTATTTTGAAAAGAAGCATATTTGGTAATTTCCAAAAATCGAAAGTCGCGGGATATGATCCAAAATGATCCCTTACATTTCTAAAAAAGTGAAGTCTAAGGACAGTAATAAAATCTGTTGTTTTGGTTGTGTATATGTCATAATTTATAATCAAAGCTATAACAACTACCACAAGATGATATCAGTAATATTGTTGACCATATCTTTTATTTTGTCTGACATTTGTTTAATTTACCTTTTAGGTGAAGTGTGATTATTAATTAAAGCTATGACGATCTCGTTCAGTGTTTTAAAAGACTATGTTGGAATTTGTTTTAGGCTCGTTCTGAGGTGGGGCTCTAGTAAAATGCTGAGACTCAAGTGTGGGGTTTAGTTCTATCAGACTTACGTCCTAAGCGTCCACTTGTATGCCTTAAGCATGTCCAATGCCTAATGGCTAACGCTTGGGGCTTGCTAACAGATCTTACACAAATTTATGTGTTAATATCTTGTAAAAATTACAGAAATCCCACATTTTAGTTTACTTATTACCATTATCCCTTATAAGTTTTACAAATTTTCAAAATCCCTCATTTTTGCGCATTAGATTAGTGTATCTCGCGCATCAAATTAATGTATCAGCGCTTATATTATTGTATCTCGCGCATCAAATTAGTGTATCATGTATAAAATGTACATCAGATTAGTGTATCATGTATAAAATGTAATGTATCTCGCGCATCAGATTAATGTATCAGCGCTTATATTATTGTATCCGTTTGAGGGATTTCTGTAGTTATAAACTTTTAAGGGATAAATTGTAATTTTGCCTTAAAAGTATGTGATTTCTGTAATTTGCCCTAATTTCTTTAGTTAATATTGTTGACCCTCATAAATCTTGAATAAATGAATGATATTTATATTTTGGGTAAAAAGACAAATATACCCCCGAACTATCGTAAATGGTATGCAAATACCCTCCGTCATACTTTTGGGACATAGGTGCTCATACCGTCCAAAAACTAGAGCATATATGCCATTCATTCTAACGGAAGACAAAATAGGGACACGTGACACAATCTTATCTATCGATCCGATATTTAATAAATGTTGGATTGATGTATAAGATTATGACATGTATATGTCTGTTAGGATAAAGGGTATATATGCTTAGTTTTTGGATGGCGGGGGCACCAATGTCCCAAGAGTATGACAGAGGATATCTACATATAATTTACGATAGTTCGGGGGTATATTTGTCCCTTTTCCCTTATAATTTTTTAATGTGTAGAGATAAGAAGATTGAGAGTAACTCAAATAACCAATTATAGTATCTCATCTTTTTACTATTTGGTAACACTGTGAAGGTGATTATATATTACGTAACATTTCTTTTAAAAATCCATACCTAAATTTTTACCTTTTTTTTAACTTATCATTGGTCTTCATATGATTTGTCATTCAAAATTATCATATTTTATTTTCATATTCCAGATCAACCATCAAATGACACAACCTAGAGAGCAATTAAAGAGTTCTGCTTCTGTAGCTTACATGACTAGAACAACTTTCACTCCCAATCTTCAATATCACCTCTCAATTAAATGCTTGGCATTAGGACACTTGTGGTGTTGGTCTTATTATCAACTATTGGTACAATATCAACTGATGAAAAAGCTTCTTTATTTGTATTAATCAATCTTGGAAATGAAAACTGAAAGATTAACAAATGTAAGATTATGAAATCCATTAGTAATATTTTTTTAAGGCTTGTTTTAAATTGCAAGTCTCAATCAAACGATTAAAACGGAAAAGTAGCTTTGAAAACTACACATATATCTTGCCATTTGGACATGGAAAGTAGCGATCGGGAGATCAATTCATTTAGTCGATTAAAAAGGGATGATAAATTTACTTTCTTTGAATTGTTTGAGTAACTTAGAAATGACCAAAAGTTGCAGCAATACAATTGAACAACATGCTTTAATAAAAAATTAAAAAAATCCCCATTTATGAATAGAAAAACCTAGCTCAAAATTATGAAAAATTGAGAAGATAAATAAATCAGAGCAGAAACATACCAAGAATCACAAATACATTGTTGATGTTTCAGTAGATCCAGGTGGATTTGTTCTTCAAAGAGTGTGAATTAAAATGAAATACCCGAATTGCCCTTTTTAGCAGTGAGCGTTCTGTTAGTTTTTTTGGATCTGTTAGTTGAAGGATCAAAATCATTCACTTGATATAATTGAAGGTTAATAGTGTTAAGTTAGATAACACAAGGACAAAAATAAGAATATAGCCTTAATACAGGGACTAAAAGTGCAGTTTTTCCTTTATTGATTATTTTCTTTTTAGGGGGAGGGTAAATTGTATAGTATGATAAAAAAAATATTTTAGAAATAATGATTCTTTTATTATTAGAAAAGTTAGATTATTTACACTTGTATAATCATGTTAAAAGTTTTATTTTCTATGAGTTTCCTTAATCATGTTTGTAACTATTTCAAATTATTGATGTATTTTCATAATTTTATGTTATTATATTATTATACTATATTGTAAATTAAAATTTTAAAGATACATTACGCCCACATCTTGAGGCTTACGCCTCACCCTATACTAAATAAAATACTCCGCCCTTTAAAACACTGATCTCATCTAAAAAATTCATCATTAAGAAAGGAAACTTTCAATGGAGGTTAAGTCATAAATTTACTAACGTCTGGCTTTGTTAATATATTTTTTTGACAAATTACATTGGAGATTTTTATTATTGTAAAAAATAGTGTTTAAACTGTCAAATAAGGATCTGATTCTCTTTTATGACATTCACATGGGACAAGAAATTCTTCTCACATCGGGAATAATTAGGAGTATTAAATGGGCGGGTGGGTTAGGTTGAAATAGAAATTGGGTTGGGTTCTGACCCACTCAAATTACTTTGGCCTCAAATGGATTGGGCTTCAATGGGCTTAAAATGGGTTGGATTTTGATCCGTCCAATTTGACCCGCTCAATCTAAATAATTTTAATTTATTGTTATTTAAGTTTTATAACTACAATTTGAATTTCAACAAAAGAAATTTTTTTTAAAAAAGTTACAAATGGAACATCCATTAAATCAATGTAAATAAAGAGTCTTAAAATGGATTGAAATTGGAGATTAAATTGGACTCGATTGAAGATTCTCTTTGAACCCAAGTCAAATTATCTTGACTCCAACATTTAAAATTTTGAGCGAATTGAATGGATTAGGGCTCATTTTTAATACCTCTATGTTTATCACATGAGTACAATCAAATAATATCCATTATTACAATATTAAGAATTAATTTATCCTATTCCCTTCTAGTACATATTTTTGTACACCAAGAATATGAATCTTTTCAATATAATTTCTCCTATTAATTTTTGTCACATCAATTTCAAAGCTTCTTTTTTCTTCTTCAGACATATCTCCCATTAGCTTTCTTGTGTTGTCATTGTCAAACCTAGCCAAAAAAAAAGAAAGAGTTATTTATTGGCTAGCCGGATTTAAACATGAACATTGGACATCAGGCGAGAAATTAAATATTTTTTTTTAATAATTACACATCTAATTATATATTATCTCTATTTCACTAATTTATGCGACATATTTGACTGAATTTGAAGAATATCGTTTGCTCCTAATAAAGAATCAAAGGACAAATTGATCAATTACATGTATTAAAGTTTTTAACTTGTTTATGAATGTAAAAAATGTATCATTTTTCTCAGAAAAAATAAAAAATGAAAATATCACACATACCAGCCTTTGTAGAACAAGTAGGGTTCATAAAGTTTGCTGAAATTCTTCAAATATTCCACCTTCTTTTCAATTAAACGTATTTGAATCTTTGTAAGCTCTTTTTCATCTCGTACTTCATGCTGCTTGGATAATACCTCCCAAATATAATTTTCAACATCTAATATTTTGTCAAAATATCTCATTTGTTTAACGTCAAATTTATCTCCTTTTTTATTAACAAAAGGAAATAATTTGAAATAATTATAGGAATAGTCAAAAATTTGTGAAAATGAGACAGGATTTATAGATGATGATGCCACATGATAAACATTTAGTTGTGAATTTTGCAAATTTCCATGTTTTGCCATAGCAGCCATTGTTGCATTTACAACCATATCAACTGGAACCTAAATAAAGTAAAATATATATTAAATCGAGATGATCACACACTTTAATAATAAAACATAAAATTATTGAAAATGTACACTTACCAAATCAACAAGACAATTTGGATCACCTAAAAGGCATGGAAGGTCACCCTTTCGATAGAAAAAGATTAAAGGGTCGATTGTCCTAATTAAGAAAGAGATAATTAAAAAAAATAAAATTCAGAAACATTAATATTCTTGGAAATTATAAATAGGCATAACACATCGATAATTTCTTAAATCTGTAAGTAAATTTTATTTAGACACTTGAACTGTACTTGTTACGATCGAGCACCTTGAACACATGATAAAATGTTCCAAGTATACATTTCTGACTCAAACTTTTGAAAAAGTTTTTATGCGTGTTGTCAACTTAAAATATGTCACATTCTTTTATTATACTCATTATCTTCAATAAATCATAAAATCTCAAGCATGCTCCAATTAATTGTGTATAATATAACTAACTTATCTAGGTAATAGATGTTTGAGAACATGCGTATAATCTTTTTTTCAAAATGTGTCCGAAGTGTCTGAACAATTTATCTTGTGTTTACCTAAATAAAATTCACTACTCATAAATTTAAGAAGCTATCAATATATTCAACCATATAAATATTTGAATAAATAATATGTCACCTGAATCCTTGCATCCATCCTGGAAATGGCTCTTTATAGCTACTTGTTATTATTGAGGGACGAATAATAAGTATTGGAATTTCATGTCTCATATTATTTATCATCATTTCACCAATTGCCTTTGTGAATGTATATGTATCTTGCCATCCATATAATTTTGCCCTATTTAATCAACAAACAATTAATTATGTTTTTTTTAAAAAAAAAAAAGAATTCTTATATTATATCAATATAATTATATAAAAAAGAGTAAATACCTCTCAACTCCTAAATTCTTCATTATTTGCTCCAAGTCAATATTGTTTATAATATTGTTCTTCAATTTTGAAACTAAGTCAAATTCATTGTCAACATGCAATGATGGAAAATTAGTAAAGGGAGAAATTGAAGTGATTTTTTCCTTTGTTATGCTTTCTCCCATTATAAAAGGCTTCTCCAATATTAATCCTTCTCTTTCTCCATTAGCATATGCTTCAAAGTAATATAAATAAGATATATCATTATTATTGTAATTTAAATTCATATATAAAATCTAGAAAGAGTAGAGCTTATATACAGTGACTATTCTCATAGATATTTTGATTGAATCAGTGAGAAGAAGAAAATAAAATGTTTTCATATGAAAAAAATTAGAAAACTTCTCAATATTTTAGCGAGAATCTATTTTTCACCATACGCACGTACCGGTAGAATAATGCATAAGAAGTTTAAGGTTCTTGCATTTCTTGGCAAACATCATGAGTTGATATGGACCATTTACGTTAGTATCAAGAGCTAAATCATACCTAGAAACATATATAAAACCAAAATTAAAATTAAAAAAAAAATTGTTAATTAAATTGTGTATATATACTATAGTTGATAATTATTTATTTTTATTAAAGAGAGAGAATTAACCTCTCATCAAATGTAGTGATGGCTGCAGAGTCAACAATCAAATCAATTTCTTGAGCAATTTTGTCACTAGTAATAATATCCATACCAAGATTTGGCTCATATATATTTCCAACTATAGGGATCAATTTATTTTCTATGAATGACTTGTAGGATTCACCATGCATTTCTTCTAGGCATTTGAATAATTCTGACTCCATAATCTGAATTTTAAACAAAATCAACGTGTAAATAGTCTATTCACATTGTTCGCCAATTAGTGACAAAGCTAAAATTTTCACTAAAGAAGACACGATGATTCATTATATAACATATATACTAAAGAAAAATTACTTATCTACATGGTGTAATATTTCAGTGGACATAAACACTCCCTTGGAAAAGGGCCGTGGCTCGGCCACTTAGAGCTAGCTATATCCGTCATAGGATGGTCAGTTAAACATTTTTGTGAAAAAATTATGTTGCGTATATAAGTGAAATTAGATGTACTTTCCTTTTGTACATATATTAAATTTTGAATAAATTGATGGGACTCAAATATTTAAAAGATACTTAATTTTAAACATACTTCAATTTTTACTCTGTGAAATGCAGCTTCCTTATCCTTTGCCCTGATGAGCAAATAGATCTTGTTTACCTTTGGTGTTGTTCTCAACATTTTTTCAATCAAAGCTGAAAAAAATATATAGTACACAATTAGGTCACTAATAAGGTATTAATTACATGTAGATCTCTTGATAAACATTAATCGAAAATTTTCTAAAAATAATAACTAATATGAATAGGTTAAGATTCACATGTAACAAACTATCTTTACACTGTGAGTGTATAAAACTTAAATCCATGCTCTTAAGCAATAGCATAGCTAGGGAGACGCAAGGGGCTTAATTCAAATTTCCTTCATCGCAAAATTACACCATATATGTCATAGATTTTGACTTTCCTTTACACTTCTTCATATGCATGTTATTATTTCCTTATATTTTGAATTTCGTTAATAAAAATCAGGACATACCTTTTGCAAGAAACCCTGTACCACCAGTTACAAGAATATTCTTCCCTTCAAAAAAGTCAACAATTCCTATTCCATTGCTGCCTTTTTGAGCTATAATTATTTCTTTTTCATCCTCCATAGTTATGGCTGCAACGTTAGTGATTGCTTTGAGTTGACAATATTGTTGATGGTGTCCAATTTTTTCAGACTTCATGTAACATAATTTTTTTCTTGATCTTTTTTGGTTCTCAAATGATGAAAAATTGTTACTATATTTAAACATAGTAGAAACATGATTTTGAGAAAATAAATTATAAGTATGTTTCCTTGTATTAATGGGAAAAATATTTTTTAAGAGAAGCATATTGGAAAAAAAAAAAAATTAAAGAGAAGTTTTGGGATATATAGAAGCTAAAATATATTCTCTATTTATAGAGCTAGTTAGGGAGTATAAAGACAGCAATAAGATCTGATATTTGGTGTACCATGTGATGATTATCCGTACTATTATTGGACCATATATTTTAATTTTTCTAAAAATTAATTTTTGGAGGTCGAATTCGATTTCGTGAAGTCCTAAGGATTCTTTAATGTCTTGGCTATAATAAAATAACAGCCAATTAAGCCTAGACACATTCCACCCCACCCATTTCTGGATGACCCTAGACTGTGTCAAACTCAGATTCCGTTTGAAGCTGACTTAACCTAAAAAATTTAAGTCACTATTCGAAAAGTATTCTGACCCAATTTAAGTCACTAGACCGGGACGAATCGTTACACTAACTTGCTATATAAATAGGCTAAAATTTACATGTGGTGTAATGAAATATATTTACGTTATAAATGTATATAACTTAAATTCATATTCAAAAGCATTATTGGAGCTAAGAGGAAAAACGGAAACACAAGAAGATTTTTCTTAATCTCTTTTTTCGAAAAATTATATTATATATAAAACGTTTGAATTATTTTTACCTGCTTTGAGTAAAGAGTGTTGAAAGTGTCTAACCTTTTCGGGCTAATATGTAAAGGGATTTTTTTTTTTTTGATCTTTTATGGTTCTCAAATAAAGTATATTATAGGGTCAAAATTGAATATTAAAAACTAATGGACTGCGTCGATCCAAAAAATCAATAGAAATCGATTTGGTCCATGAAATTTTTTTTCCTTTTTTTAATTAAGAGGACAGACATTTTTGAAGAGAAGTATATTTGCCAATTGGCAAAAAAGGAGAGTTTTAAGGATATGATCTAAAATGATCTTTTCCATTTATAAATATGATGTTTGATGGTGTACTTGTCTTTTACAATAAAAACTATAACAACTACCAGATTATGAGTATCGATAATATTGTTGAACAAATCTTTTAATTTGTTTGAGATCTGTTTGATTTAAATTTATTTTTTTAGACGGTTGAAGTTTGTAATGATCTTGTTTAAAAAATTAAACGGTTAAGGAAAATATATTTTGTTATACTTAATAATGTCTTTAACACGTCTTTTCAGGTCTGATTTTTTTGTGGATCAAGAGAATAGCTAATGGTGAGACTCGACTACCTAGAAAAAGAAATTAGTTACTCCCTCTGTCCACAATTGTTTGTCAGGGTAAGGTCATGCACATCCCTCAAGGAAAATTTAATACAAGGTGTAATTTGACTAATATAACCTTACTATATCAAGAATACCAAAAGTCTACATAACTTTTCAATTGAACTACACAATCATTAAGGGCAGAATTGGAAAAAAGTGACTAATTATTTCTTGATTGTTTAAATTGACAATTAATCCTGGACATCTATTTTTAGTATACCTGCCAATCAATTGTGGATCAAGGGAGTATGAACTTTGTTGCTATTTTATTGTTAAACAGCTAGTAGCTAATTGAATTTTTAGAAAATTCATCACAATATTAAATGGGATTAGTGAGGAATTTTGTCGTTTGGTTACAAAATTCATTTGCTGCTAATTTATATTTCTTTTGGTAATAAACTCAGGACGTCCGTGTGAAAGAGTCTTATACCGGGCAATTAAGAGATTAGTATTCTTTTGAGCAAGCTTTTAGAATGAAGGTATGTTGAATGTCATAATATCAAAGTCAGTCTCATCCAAGATTCTCATAATATCAAATTTTGAATAGTTAATTTGCGTTTTTTCCATTTATTTTTATTTGTTCATTATGTTAAAAATATATCTCACTTTAATTACTTGTTACTTTTAATATTTCAAAAAAAAGTATATTATATATTTTAATAATCTGAATTTATAACTCCGCCCCATCTCTCCATGTAACCAAGGAGAAGAAAAAACAAGAAACATTAAAAGCACTGCAACTCCAAACTGTTACTTGCCCATAAATCATAATTATCTCTACTCCTGATACAAATATCAATATCCTAGTATTCATTAATGATCTCAACCATAAAGTTCAATTATTTCTATTAATGTTTTTTCAATTGAGCTCATCATATCGGACTTGCATGTTCTCGTAGCAGAGAATTTTTTTTCCTTCTTATTGCTGGAACATTGTGTATGCTGTTCATAGAGATTTTTATTTTTTTTTAAATGAAAAAAAAGTATTTATTTTGTATCTGAATCAACATTTATATTCATACTAGACACAAGGAGCTTGTGCAAGTACGGGCCGATAGACGCTACTCTCTTTAGTCTATAAATTAAGTGAATTTGTATGGTAATGCATATCTATTTTTAAAAAAGTTTAGGATATAAATTGAACATCATTTTTCAGTTTTACGCTTTTAGTTATTGTCATACTATTCTTGAAAATATAAATAATTCAAAGTAAAATTATAAATATGAGCAATTAATTAACTATCTTGAACTTATTACCTAAAAAATGTAAATGAAGGGCAAAAAATGGGGAAAAAATTCAAACATTTATTTTGAACTTTGAACAATTCATTTATTTTGAACTAAGTTAAAAAAAACCTCAAAATCCATTTAATATAGAATTTATGTGGCACAGATGAAATGAGGAGAGTAAACTAAAACTTTTATATAATTTCTTTTTAAGAGTGTTAAAAAGGTAATAAAGTTTGTTCTATTTACTCCCTCTGTCCACTTTTATTTGTCATGTTGTGCTTTTCGAAAGTCAATTTTGACTAATTTTTAAAGTTAAATTAGATTACGTTAATTCGATGTTTTTTAAAAAAAAAATTAGATATTCAAAAACTATACGAAAAGTACTATAAGTTGCAATTTTTTGCATATCAATATGATGAAAATATACATCGTAACATGTTGGTCAAAGTTCTTATTGTTTGACTCTAAAAAAGGAAATCATGACAATTAATTGTGGACGGAGGGAGTAATATTTTGCATGGAATAATTTATTTATATAAGCAATAAAAAGAAGATAGGAACAAAATAGAGAGTAAAAAAGTAGGACACACTCATGTTAAGCTATACAAAAATAACAAATAGATGGTAAGAAGACAAAAATACCCTCAAAAATAATTTAAGAGACATCAAGCATACATGTCGATACTAAGGAGCTTACCCACTCTTCTAATACGTATAGATATAGATATAGATATAGATATAGATATAGATGTATATACGAATTGATTATATCTAGCATAGATGATCTTATACCTAAATGGGCCAAAAACCCTAAAAACATATGAATTCTGATGGGCTAAAAGCCCATTGGATTTGGGTGATAACAATATTGGGCCATGATCAAAGTAAACCATGGATCACTTAGAAATTTTCATCGGTGGTCTCTTTTTGGAACAACTATTTAGTAAATAATTCTCTTTTTATTTTATTTTTGTAATTATGGACTTCTTAGATCACAGTCTCAATTATTTTTTGTCAAATTAAAATATTTTGAATCTTTTTTTAATCATGGACTAAAATTCTATAAGTTATTATAAAATATTAGACAATAGTCTAATGTTTTATATATAAGATTACGAATATATATTAGACAATAGTCTAACATTCCCCTGAAAAATAAATTTCTAAGAGCTATATTATACAACTTTTAAAAATAAGAATAAATTCTAGTTACAAACTGTATGATTATAAAATTACTTAATGAGTCTAAATAGAAATAAATATCTTTAAAGCTATAACATCTTAATATCATTGAGACGCTATCCATTCAAGTGTTTTTTTTAAAAAATAAAATGATTTACTGCAGGACGTTATCATCACTGATCACCATTATCAACTATCAATATCTGTCAGTCGTCATCGCTACTAGCCATCACATATTTACAATGGCCATTATCAATTATATTATCATAACAACCATCATTCATTATCGACAATTATCATTATTATTAATCATCAATATAATCTACCATAATTATTAGTTGCCGCTATCAAAACGACCCCTTAGTGTATTGAAAAGGTACGTATATACAAAAGAACAAGCGTGGAGTCAATATATTCAATCAATTTCAAAAGTTGTACTAATAATTATTCTACGTGCACAACTGGGAAAAAAACACTTCTTTTTATGAACTGTTTTTTTCTTTTAATGTTTTTTAGGGTTTTCAATATTCAATTTTTGTCCACATAAAAATATATCATGTACTTTGATAAATTGTCTACAAACAATTATAATACATTTAGTATAGAATCATAAGTGGGGTTTGAATATACACCTTATCCCTACTTCTATCGTATATAAATGTTATTTTCAATAAATCTCGGGACATAAAAAAGTGTCCAACCACATGAGTAAAAATTAATAAATTCTTAGCATCTTGAATGTCGTCTAGTGTATTTATATACGATTGGTCTTTTTTATAACAGTCATTTATTATAGTAACACTACTATAAAATCCTAATTTTATTTGATTTTGGCTTGATATTATATGTTTTGTAACATCATCTTACTATAACATCCAAAAAATATTCAAGCAAATGTGTCATCATACAAAAGTTTGATTATAGTATTAACAAAATTTGTCTGGACACAAAAGTGTACGTATCTTGTATATACATAGTACTTCCTCTGTTCCAATTTATGTGACACTTTTCATTTTTCGAGAGTTAAAAAGTTAAAGTTTGACCGGTAATTTGCGCATGGAATCTTTAATTTTTTTGAAATGAAATTTATATATTTGCAAACTACGTAAAAAGTATTATAAGTCACAATAACTGATAATTCAAAATGTTTAAAAGATCTATGAAAAACTTACAGTAAAAAATAGACTTGTTTGAATCTCGAAATTTGAAAAGTATCACATAAAATAAAACGAAGGGAGTATTATAATCAAATGGGTGGGTCTCATGTTTTTTTAAGATAGATTAATTCAAACCAAACATTGAAAAACACATCTATAATTTAAGAAAGAATATAGGCTTTTAAAAGAAACATGTCATAGATATTTT